GGTATCATCGTCACAACACAATTCAAGCTAACGAGTCAAGAAAACTCACCGGCAAATCCCTAAACAGTGGCATATATACACTACATCTGGCCTCTTTGATCAAGTATAAAGTGATTTGGTTAGTTAAGGTCATATGTCAACTTCGATGCCTGTGAGTGTTTCTGTCTCTGTATTTGTATGTGCATGTTTGTGTTCAGCATGAATCTTCTAGCAAAGCCAATCGACAGCTGGTCAAGAGGAATCCGCCGTCGTCTTCTGGTGGAACCGACCCATGAATCTCTTCACCCAACACTTCCACTCGAAATGGAAGTAAGCTCAACAATTATGAAATAAGAGATTTCTCGAAACCCAACTTTTCTTCGCCTCCTTAAATTTTGAAGTCGAACTAATTTGGTATAGTGTATTATTCTTCATGAATAACTGAATGGACCATAAGAACTTTGATCATATCTAAGTTGTCTATACGAGGTGCAAATGGGTTTCGATTAATCTTCCGAAATATCGTTGTTAAGGCGACCTATAATTCGAAGGATGGTGCCGGATAAAGACAAGCATAAGCCACGGGATAGACTCTCTTTCATCGGGACAGGAGGGCGATGCATGCATTTCGTCAACCTGGGAGTTGCGGTAAAATTAAACTACCCCTCTGCATTCTTATGAAATCTGCCTATAAATCTCTTGGTCAGACAATTGCATGCGTTATGCAAGTTGTAAAGATAGTGAGGCCCAGTAATCACAACAATTACTGCCTTTTTTGCCATCATAAAAACCGACTACTTTCGTCTACTTGTCAGATTGCTTAAAACCGATTTATCCCACAGACGCAGCCGCCAAATCGGTCCTCAACTGATTTGGCAACTGGCAAAATGTGACATATACTCGCAAGATTGACTTTCTGCATTGCCTGCCCGAAATTGGTTGCTATAGCCTGGGCATCAAGAGAGTGTTCAACAGGCTTTTTGCAGCCGGCAACTGTCATCGAGCCTGCTTGCGGGTCATTCAGAAAGCTGGCCAAACCTAAATTTCCGAAAAACAATTCTATGCCAGGTTGTGTATGCGGGATCGACTTTAAACGGATGGGACAGATGAGAAAGCCGAAGGTTGGAATCAAGGCGCGGAGGGGAGGAACTCAAAGTGGAGATGATGCTTCGCTAGACGCTGGTTCATTCCTAGGGCAACGCGCTCGAGACCCGAATGCATACACTGCTATTCGTCAAGACTATATTTCTTCTCTCATTTCTTATTTTTTTAATCCCTCTTTTCCCTTCTGTTCATCTATCATCTTGCGTTTTCACATGCAGCCTCTCAGTTGTAAATTTGTCCGTGTTTCATTCATTCAATCTTTCCTTCTTTCGTTTCCAGAGTCTTCCTTGGGCCCCTATCTCGTACTTTCTGTCCACCCTTTGCCGGTTTATCTATACACGGGTGCTTTCTGCTAAATAGAAATCTCTTAACTAATAGGAAATCTGTCTAGCTATGTACTCTTTAGTCCGTATATCTACATATCGAATTAGCAACCCAGT